TGAATCTACCATCCTGTTATAATGAAAGCTATGCATTTAGAATTGGACATATTTGCACTACAATGACAATGAAAGTTAAAAGATAACCGTGCGGGTCACTGATATACTGAAGCGATGATTCTCAGGGCCTTTTGCCTCTCTCAGAAGATGTGTGGCAATGTAAGGATGACTGTCATGCCAGGGGTAGGGGTCTGGGGATGCCACTGGCGCCATAATTCTACGAAACATCTATACCATCTAGGACAGCCCCTTCCAATGGTATTCTCTGGGCCAAAATGTCCTATCTCAGGCTACGGCCACCTCAATCCTTTGGTACAGTAATATCAAAAATTTTGGCATCAGTCTTGACTACTTCTATTTCCCCCACAATTTATACCAAGTCACTAAATCCTGGTGGCTTGCTGTTAAAGTAGAATGGGACCCTCCTCACCATTGCTACTGCTCTTGGGCATCTCACACATGTAAAAATGTTAGCTGTGCTGCACTTGAGAAAGCCTGCAAATTGATCACACAACTATGTACCTACCCTTCCTCTTGGTATATAAAGAAATAATCACTTAGGTTCAGTCAATATGAAAAGTAGAAACAAAGAAGTTCCTGAAGATTTAAACAGGCCACTTTTATGCCTCCCTTTGATACAACGACATATCTGGTGATTTTTGCAAACAAGACTGAAAGTGCCCTCACAGGTGTGCTGGCTGAGTTCCCCTGAGGGTGTTGCTCTCCACGCAGATAGGCAAACACTACATCAGGAAGTCTTCCAACAGAACTTCAGAAAAGTCCAGCATGACTGAAAACTCAAACAAGATTCCAGGAATGTATTATTTCCTGAGTTACAAGTCTGATGACTTTCAGATGCATTAAATAACAGCTTTGGGAAATAAAGCAAAACACTCGGTCTCCTTAGATGTGGCTAGCAGACCCTTCACGAATAACATTGTTTTGTTCAGTGTCATTTGGTTATAACATCGAAGAGAAAAAAAGAAAATTCTGACCTGACATTGAATGAAACAACTTATTTTGTGGACCTGCTTTCGTTTGCTATATGTTGTTTCACTTAGAGTCAGTTTCCAAGAACCAAGTGACACTTTAAGAGAGAACTTACTGTATGTTGACTGTAAGACTTTTTAGAGACAGTAAATGTGCAAACTCTATAAAGCATATTAAATCTATAATAAGATATAGTAAGTACTTTTGTAAAAAGAAATAGACTCTACCTTTTCGACTGATCCTTCTCGAGCAGTGTTAACCTGAGTTATTTTTATTTAAGTCTTTTCTTTACTCCCTTCACCACTCGAGGACAGTAAAGTGCATGGTGTGGAGAATCATTAGCTTTTCAGAAGCAAGAATAAATACAAATCTAATAGTTCTCTCTCTTTTTTCCCTCTCTTGGAATTTTTCCAGTTTTTGACTATGAATTGAGTATCATGAAGAATACCTGTGTTGAGTATGGTACCCCTGCTGCTAACACAGATAACTTTTATCCAACTAAACAAGGGAATAACCACATGTAGATGCAATTCAAGATATGTTAGTTATTATTTAAATTTCATCTAAAGGCCTCCCACAACACTTATTTAGAAACAAAAACTTCTTATAAAATCTATATATTTGCTTATCAGCCATTATCTATTTGTTCCACTAGAATCTAAGGTCCATGTGAACAGGGATTTAATCCTGTGTTTCCTGGATGAATGTGTGATTGAATGAATGAATGAATTGAATTGAATACCTTCTCCCAAAAAGCAGAGTCATTATACAGCTATAAACTCCTTCTATGTTCACACTAAGGAAAGGAGACAATAGGAATCACTCAGTGTTATGAACTACTCGTGTTCATTCATTCATTGATTTATTTGCTCTTTACTAGTTTTTCATGATTTGTCTCTGCCACCTTTCTAACTATGTTTCAAAGCATGTCTCTCTTGCTCTTCAGCAACGCTGGTCCTCGGTAAGTTCCCAGAAAACTCCACACTCCCTTCTATCTCAGGGGCTCTGCCCAGAACACTCTCTTTCCCAGCCCCAAACCCTCTGAGACTTCTTCAGGGAGCCTTCCCTGATCAACACTTAGACTAGGGATAGTGCCTGTATTTTAACCTCTTACTTTCCCATGTTTTGTTTCCATCATATTTATAAAACATTTTGGTAATTATTTGATTAATGTCTCCCCCAACCCCACACCACTTAACGTTAGATAGAAACATGCCTGCCTGTTCCTCATTAATATCCCCCACCATCAAGCCTTTTCAATGAATATTTATTGAATGAATAGATGTTTCAAGGCATGACCTGTTACCAGATATATGAATCCATGTTATACTGGGTCATTCTCTCCTATGTCTTAAGTTAATAAGTGCTTAATCAACATCTTTTGGTTATCATATTAGCATTTTTCCACTGCAAACTACATCTTCTTAAGTCTACATGATGCTAAATGAAATTGTTGCCAAATTGCTGAGAAATCAGAAGTTCTCTCTTTATTCATTCATTCTTTTCAAATACTAATAAAAAATCCATTGCATTGTTTTTTACTGATGATTGCTTTCTAGATTGAGCACAGAGTTCAGTTTTACTGAACTTATTAGCTGTTTTTGACACTAAACCATGACTGGTAGAAAAGGCTATCAGGAAATCAATTGTTTGGAGGGTCAGTATTTGTCTCTATTTGAAGATACCCAAAGGCCTACTTTAATTGCTCTCTAGATATGTGGTGTCTTATGTCCTCAGCCCCTGAAATAATCTCTCCCCATCACTGTCCTTAAATAAAAAATATTCTGTTGATAAAATATGTGTTTTTTTTATAATTATGGGACATTGTGAATAAAGAGTAGTGAGCTCTTAGGCTAAAAGTTTAAGATAGTATTAAAAAAGAGAAGAAAAGAGGTCTTCAGTGCAGAATACCATAGAAAAATATAATTTCATATAAGATCGTGTAATAGAAACATGAGTCATGTGGAAACACTAAGAGAAAGTATATGGATTTCTGGGAAATCCAGATGAAATAATTTAGTAAAGGTGTCAAAATCACCCAAGACAACAGGAAAACAGAAATAATTGTAAACCTAGAGTTTGTTCATATATTTCACCTTAAGATAGTTTCTTTACATATAGCTTCCCTACAATTGCTATCAGGATCTCTGTTACAAGGTAATTTTTACTAGAGAGTCAGAAATTCTTGAATGAATTCCAGAAAGTCCAAGAAATGAAGCACTATATGCTAAGTTAAGCCATCCCGTTAGAAAGCACTGGCTAAGAATTTAGCCTCTGTAAAAGAAGTCGCCCCATCCCTGCTTTATTCATTCCTCTCTTGAGCCCAGAGTAGTTGAGCAGGGAGTGTCTTCTTCACTGTCTCAAGAGCTTTTCTGTCAATTTCTCATCCAAATCTTCCCCTTAGGAGTCTGGTGGATGCCTTGAATCTGTAGCATGAATTCCTGCACCCTAACCTTGCTCCACATAAACTAGAGATGGAGTAGAATTTATTTTGTGCTCAATCTAGAAAGCAATCATCAGTGAGGGATCATGACCACAAAAACACAGGAGAGACCTGGATGCTTGAGGAAAGACAGAAACAACCAGAAGCCAATAGAAGATATGACTGAGCTTCTACATTTCCTTTATCAAGAGGGAAAGGTTCTCATAGCTCAGCTTTACTGTCTTTAGAAAAGGATACACATTTTCCTATTATTCTTTAGTTTGATGGGGGATCTAATGCAATGAATACTATGCTGCTAATTAAGTTTACAATATCCATAAGTAGGTGAACCAGAGCATCACAAGAACCTCTCAGGTTGCCCGGTCACTACCAATTTAAATATACAATTTGATCTTGGCTTCCAGGGGAAATGCATTGACATTGGGGCTTAGTTCTCAATGTCATGCCTAAGTAAGTCTGATTGCAAATATTTTATTACTGTTCTAGAGATCTCATGAAAAGGATTTGTCTACAAGTTTACCAAATTTGGAATAAAGATTTTTCACTTTCACTTTCTTGTTAACATCCAGATGAGCCATATTGCTCATCTAATTCTTAATTAAACCATAGAGAGTTAATGGGGATAAAGGAAGTGGATGAAAAAAAAATTTAAGTACATTTAGGTTTCATTTTCCATCAACTATTTCCCTTCCATGCAATTTAAGTGAAATACAAAATAAGTTTTTGTTCTTATCAACCTGGATTTTATTCTTGCCATTTATTCCTCATGTAAAACTATTTGACCAACTAAACATTAGATTAATATTCATGCTTTATTTACAAAGAGTCTCAAAATGTATAACTAGGGTCTATTTAGCCTTGCCTACAAAATTTTTCTGGTTCTTATCTGGGACTATTAGCATATTTTGAAAAATTTCCAAGAAATTCATATGCCAGTAGATTTCCCTTCCTAAAAGGCCAATTTCCTAAGTATTCAATGAGATAGCTTTTGAGACCCATATCAACAAACAAGGAAAGTAATAATGTTCGTATCTAAACAGGAAATTCACTATTGTGGATATTGCTGCCCTAATTATACTATAATAGAATTTCAAAACAATCTTTTCTGAATCAGAAAACACTCCATACCCGCTTCAATTTTCCATACCAAGTAAGTAGATTTGCAAAGTAAGGAGAGGAACACATGTAGTGCCTTTTTTTTCCCAGAAAACAAGTCAGGTTTTTACTTCTTTATCACTTCTGTTTTTTTGGGTTTTTTTAAAGTAAATTTCTACCAGTTAAATAGGTTTCTATTTAATCAGTTTTCCACAGGAGAGAACAAAATGTTTTCAAAATTAGAATGGATGCATAGTTTTCTTTTCAGTAACATACAAATTCATTGAGAAAATGGAAATGTATACCCCATGACAAAGCCTTAGAGGTAGAGGTAAGTCAGCATTTTCTATTGACCCGTCACCAAACATACAAACACACACCACCTAACTAGGACACCACATCTCTGTACTCTGAGCCACAGTCTAAACCATTTGAAAGCCAGGCATCCCGAAAGGTTAAAAAAGTAACTCACAATGTGCAGTCAACGCAGCCTCTTGGATCTCAGAGCCTTGCAGGTATCACGGCAGATTTTTTTTATCACCAGCAGCTCAAGGGCCCTGTAAATGAAATCGCTCATAATCAATGAATCTTTTACTTGAACATTTGACAGCTCAGTAAGCAGTTTATGTAAGGCTGTTACTTTTTTTTTTTGTAGTTGCCTTTGCAAACAGGAAACAGGAAACACACCTACAAGAGTACTGACATATCTAAATCTAATGGGTGTTTTGTTCAAAGTACTCAGTGGGGGGTGAGCTAGTTACACAGGATAAGAGTCCCCAAAAGAGCAGGACTCAGGTCCTAGCATTTCACAGTCTAAAATCCTTTCAATAGATACTATGTTGGCAACTTATGAGAGGGAGAAATAGGCATTCTTAGTAAAATTACAGCCTTAATCTTAGAAGAACTATAAACTTCAAAATAAACTCAGGTGTACATATGTTTACAGATATGTATGTATGTGTATATATGTATATGTACATATTAATATATTAGTTATATATTTTTAAAAATAAAAATAGATATATAATTTTCCCTGGAATATACGGAAACCATCATTTAGGAATCTTTTGATTACAAATAATAGAAAATCCAACTCAAACTCACATACACAAATAAATAACAAAACAAGGAAATGTTTTGCTTCATTAAGCTGGGAGCAAAAAGGCCCAGACATAGTGTTGCTTTTGGGAAACCAGGAATTCACTCTATCATTCGATTCTCTGCAATCTCTTGACAATGATGGGTCTACTCGGTAGACTCACAGCTCCTTCCGGCTGCCTTCCATTATTATGCAAAAAGTTAACAGCTGCCGAAGGTCAAGACCACAACCACACCTTCTGAGAGGACAGTGTTAGGCAGTCCCAAGTTCTGAGGCTGCTCAGATTTCCTGCTTGTGAATCAGTCCTTATACTCTGCTGAATGCCTTTAAAGTAATCAAGGCTTATCCCTGGAGGCAAAGGGAGACTCATTCCAAAGAAAAATCACATAAAAAGGCATTCAGGATAATGTGAGGAAGGGAAAAGGGGGAAAGGAATAATGGGAAAGAAATCAACAAATGTCCACTACAATTTTTCACAAGACTATGAATCCAAAGATTGGTATTTGAGGATGTGTATCCATGAAAACTACTCCGGGGTTATCTGAAGATGTGTGAAAGACAATAAGCTAAGGTTCAATAGATACTGTTCTCAAGTCTTCACAATTAGTCTGACTTGCTATTTACATTAGACTTGCTCTCCCAGACTACAGTCCAGCATATTTCCACTTTGTTTATAAAATACATTTCACAGCATAGAAAGTGCTCTTGCATTTGATGTTGCATTTTGTCATGCAAATAACTCTGCAGGCATTTACACTGGAAGCTTAGAGAGAGGGGTAGACACTGGGATTGTCTATCTAATTCCCAGACTACCCTTTATCCTTACAGAACCTTGTTTTTCTATGGAGCAGCAATTTACCCTGTCAAAACTTAGCTAAGGATCGGCAGGTGGAACAGTTTCGGTTCGGCAGTGTGAGTTGAAGTTATTAAGTAAGGCTCCTGGAGAAGCACTTTAAAAGGGCTCTGGCATTTGCTTTCTGCTCGTTGCCTTTTCTCTTCTTCCAGCCAAAGGTAGAGCCACATCCAGTAGTCACAAAGTGGCAAGCATGAAGAAGGAAACCACATGCTGTGAAGACTAAATTAAGAGAAGGAGCCACTACCATGGGCCTGGTTTCCTGTACCTGGCTATCACAAGAGAAAAAATAAACTCTGGTTAAACTGCTGTACAAGGGTTCTTGGTACATGCAGCTGACCTCACCACAGACACAGACAGGTTCCACAACCAGGTAATGGCAGATCAAGGTTTAGCCCCATGTCTCTTGACTTCCAGTCTGGTGATATTTCCAATCAACAAACATTTATGCTTCCCTTCTGAACTAATAACTCACTTAAATGATCTCAGACGTAGTTCAAATGATTGGGGGATTTATTGGTTTTGTTTTGGTTTCTTCAGCTTTTTAACATGTAAAACTCAAACACTTGCAAAATTGCTCAGGCAAAAAATGCTAAGAAAATGTGGGGCATTTGACCAAAATTTCTTTCAAGAATATCTAAAGAAGAATTAGCCATTTTTTTCAAATCTTGCTGTGCATGAGTTTTCTTCCATTTCTCATTCACCCAGTTATTAAAAGACAACAGAGGGTTTCTGGTATCCGGTTCCACATCTAAGGAGCTTGGAAGTCACCATTCTTTCCTAATAACAAGTATAAATCAAGTACTCTTCTCTGATGGTTACGAGAGGGGAGGACACAGGGCTTACAGCTGCCCTCAAGATGGAAAGACCAACAGGATCATAGGATCATTCAGGGTTGGCAGCTTTTAGACTCACCAGAGAACCACTGTGGGGACCAGAGCAGGGGTAGGAAAACATAAACTGTAATTGAGGAATTGCTGGAGTCTGCCCCAGGACAATTCTCAGCGTTAAAAACTCAAAGAGGACCCAATATTATGAGATGAATTTCCAGGTGCTCTACCTGATTCCCAAGGAAAACAGAAGAAAATACTCTTAGGATTCCTGAAGGGGCAGGGCCAAGGAGCCATTGGGAATACCCCAGAGCATTCAGTTCTTAACAAGGCCTGCCCAAAGGAGAAGCTAGTTAACCAGAGCCCAAGCTACTGGGGTATTATCAGAGTCTAAACAGAGCTGAGGTAGGGGGATACTCAACTGCAGCCAGCTCTCGCTGTCCTGGTTCACCTAAAAGGGGACCAAAACCCTGGGAAACACTTGTGAAGCTCACAGTACAGAGGAATAAGCTCACTAAGTGACTGAGACCTAATCACAGAACTAGTGAAAGCTTCCTCTCCTGTAAGCTTTACCACCGCATTACTGAAGCTCTATTTACTGCAGTTCTTTAAACCCGCACATCATGTCTGGATATCAAAAAAAAAAAAAAAAAAATTACAAGGCATATCAAAAGGCAAAAAAAAAAAAAAACCCCACAATTTGAAGACAGAACATCAGAACCAGACATGGCAGGGAGTTGGACTGAGAAGACAACAGAACTCTCAAGAAGATTGCAGTCATATACTCACCCAAAATCATACCCAAAATCAATTCCAGAGGGATTACGGACTTAGTATTGAAAAACAAAATGTTAGAACTTGTGGAAGAAAATAAAGAACATCTTTCTGACCGCCAAATGGGAAAGGAATTGAAGTTTCATTGGTTTGCATTGTTGCTGGTGTTTGGGAAGTGTAGGAGCTCTCCCTTCAAGTGTAGTTACTATAGCGCTTCCAGCACCAAGGTACCCACAGTCTCCCTCCATAATGCATTTGCCCCCTCTTCCCTTTGTTCTCACTGTCTACTACCCCTATCCCCTCTGGATGCCTCAGTTCTGTTGTCAGCTTTCAAGGGTTAGTTTTACATTTGTCTTATCTGACCCTTTAATGGATTTCTCTATATTCTACATAGAAGTGATACCATCCATACTATCTTTCTCCTTCTGACTTATTTCACTTAGCAGCAGGAAAATAATTCTTAAGGAAGCACTAACCACAAAAGGAATGATGGATAAATTGCTCACTGTCATGTTAGGTACCTGTTCTCAAAAGGCACAAAAAAGAAAGCAAAAACATGCAAATACCTGATATAAGTTTGCAACAAGTAAAATCAACAAAAGACCAGTGTTCAGAGTACACAAATCTTTACAAATAAGAACAGATAGCACAGTAGAAAAATATGATCTGACACATTGTAAAAGGGGAGGAAAATAATGGTGAATGAACATGAAAATATGAGCAGCCTCATTTGTAGTCAGGAAAATGCAAATTAAACTGTGGGAGTACAGTTGATATAACCACTTGGGAACAATTTAACCTCACAAAGTTGAATTTTCACACACCCTGTAACTGAGCAATTCCATTTCTACTATATTCTTTAGAGAAATTCATATTTTCTGTGGAAGATAGGCACACTGTGTTTATAACAACTTTATTCAAAACAACAAAAAGCCAGATTTAACAGAAATGTCCACCAACAAGAGAGCAAATAAATTGAGTTGGAATGTGGAATATTGTACAATAGGTAAAAGCAATAAGTCACAACTACATGCAACAACTTGGGTGAGACTTGGAAACAATGAATCAAAAAAAAAAACAGTATCAGGTATCTATATACAGGTGATGGTTTTTTATATATAAGGCCCAAAAACAGTGACTCCAAACAATATTTTTGTTTAGCTAAACCCATAGACAATACATTTTTATAGTTGTATATTATTTTGTCACATATGAAGATTCAGGTAACCAACATTGCAATCAAGATGAGACATACAACTTCATCCTACTATCATTTATAGTCACACCCAGCCCCTCTGCTCCTGTCCTTTATCCCTGGAAACCACTAAGCTGTGTGTATCAATATATTTTTTAATTTAAATATTTTATTTTATATAATTCTTACATCTTTCTTCATCTTTGCACAATGTATGCATTTTCATTTTGGTTATATTCCCCATACAATTGCGCCCCCCCCCTCCTTATTTTGACTCTAATCCTTCCTTTCCCCGCCTCTCCTTCCCTCCCCCCACCCCCCATAGTGTGTCTCTGGTTTATAGTTGCTTGTTGATTTTGATTTTTACTTTGTATTGATTAGTCTTTTTTTGGTCTCTTATTTAGGTTTTCTAAATTCCTGCTATGAGTGAGACCATCCGGTATTTTTCTTTTTCTTTCTGATTTATTTCGCTGAGCATGATCCCTTCTAGCTCCATCCATGTTGCTGCAAACTGCATATGTTTATCTTTTTTGATTGCTGAGTAATATTCCATGGTGTATATGTACCACATCTTCTTGATCCAGTCATCTATTTTGGGGCATTTGGGTTGCTTCCATAGCTTAGCTATTGTAAATAGTGCTGCTATAAACATAGGTGTGCAGGTGCTCTTTGGAATTGATGTTTCTGTGTCCTTTGGGTAAATACCTAGGAGTGGAATGCTGGATCATATGGAAGCTCTATGTTTAGTAGTTCAAGAAATCTCCTGTGTGTATCAATATTTTGTTCCTTTTTATTGCTGAAAAATA